CTGAACGAATCAGCTTTTTTGACGGTCGCGGGAAGTCGCCGCGCAGCGCACGGAACGAAGAAACCCAGGGTACACTGACGAAAATCAGATGGGTTCTTGATGCGCGCCCCCACTGGTATGAGGAGCGGGGTGAGGCGCAAACCGTCTTGGAGGCCTGTCGGGCCCCTCCCGGCGGTCGTTTTAGGGCGAAGCTAGTGGCACCCGGGGTTGTTACCGAGGGCCTCTTGGGCCAGTACCCAGTGCCTCCAAAACGGTCCAAGAGAGCACCAGCACGGGCCCCTGAGACCATCCTACAGCCAGTTCGAGGTTGATACACCCCAGTCACGCTCCCGAGGATTCCGGAACGCCATGCGGGAATCCTGGGAGCGCCCAGGAGCGCTCAAGGGCTCCCGTGACTTCCGGGCCCCTGAAGAGTTTTCAATGCAGACATTTCGAAGGGACTTGAGGGCTCTTCCCTCGGTGCATACGGTGGCGGATACGGCCGGACCGGGGTCATACTATCGAGATCGGTTCGGGGAGGGTACCCAAACGTTGTTTGTGTCGGTTGAAAATCTTCAGTTTGGCCGGCGGAGGGTCTCCTGTTCTTGAAGGATGCGATGATGTTTTGGGTCCGGCCGTGTGTCGGACAGTCGGACGGTGGGGCGCAGCAGCAGCAGCAGTCAATGCACCCTTTCCGCACCACCATCCTTTCGCCCTGTCTGTTCCTTTGCCTTGCGCGTACTGCCTGATGAACTGACTGCTTCTGCTTCCGCAGCTATACCACTTTGGCTCTAGGGAAACGGAAAAGGAGCGAGCCTGCGGCGCGCGCGCGTGCGTCGGCCGGCGGGCCGGCCTCTTAGTGTTATGCTTGACGGCATTACTCTCTCTTCCCCACCTCATCGGCGGAGCCCGGTGACCATGATAGATTATCGGAACATCTTGCAGGGATTCTGAATATTTCGGCAAAAGATTGCAGCAGCAACGGCCAGGGGGCGGGAGCTCTTGGGCGCGGGGCTGCGGGGAGCACCGAGCTCGAGTGATTGTCCAGCCCCGTGCTCCCTTCCTCGTTGCGCCTCGCTTCGGGAGGTAACGTGGCAGCTCTGCGTGGTACCTCTGCGCGCTCGCCGCCTCGTGGGGTCTGCGATGCGCGCGCCCTCTTGCGCCTCTTCCGCCTGCTCCTCAGTTCCTGGTGAAGTCCGGGGTCAAGTTTGACCCGCTGCCCAGGAAGGCGAAGAAGATCGGCAACGCCACGAAGGATTGGGGGGAGGTCGTTCTGGGCATCAAGGGGCACGTAGTGCGGTCTGAAAATTGCGTCGTCCTTCCATTGTTTGAAGTTGTGTTTCGTGGCGCCAGTCGACTAGGGAAATGCTCGGATACACTCCCCCGGGGCCAACTGAAGGTCGGCCGTCCTCCAGACTGAAGGGATTGCGAGGCGGGACGCCAGAGTTGCAGACGCTGGCGTAGGACTCAATGGTCACTGTGAGGACATTGGCAAGCTCTTCGATGACGATGACGATCTCGTCATCGTCATCATCATCATCATCGTCGTCATCATCGAATCCGTGTCGCAGGCAGTTAGTTGTTTCAGTCACATGCTGCACAATCACCGACGCCCCCTGCCCTTTTTTGAAACGCTTGTGCGGCCAAACGTTGGGTCGAAGTCTGGCCAAGCTATTTGGATTATGTTTTCACGCAGCCGCTGTGGACCCCTTTGGGGGAACTTTTGGGGGAAGAGCGGAATGGAGGAGGAGAGGGAAGAAAAGGAGGAAGAGGAGGAGGAGGAGGAAGAAGAGGTTTCTTGAGACCCTCTTGCGGCCTCCTGGGGACCTCTTCGGTTTAGGAGTGGTTTTGGGGCCGCTCGCGGGCCTCTTGGAGGTTTTGGGGGGGGTTGATTTGGGCGCCTTGGGGGCCTCCTGGGGCGTCTCTTTGGCTTCCTGGGGGCCCGTTGCCCGTCTCGGAGGTCATCTTGGGGCGGAGAGCTCGAAATATTGGTTCATGCTCCTCTGGGGCCTCTCTTGGGGCCCTTTTGCCCCGTCGTTGGGGCCTCTTGGGCCGCACGGGGGTCCTCCTCGGGGTGTGTTGGGCCGTCTAGAGCGTCGAACGCCCGATACGGCGAGGACGCTAAGATTTTTCAGCAACCGATGGACAAACACTGACTTTGGCCTTTCGGAGCTTTTTTGGAAGTACGAGTGGAGCCCTCTTTAAGCGTCTTGGAGGACTCTTGGACTATCTGACAGACAGTGGGCGTCGTGGGGAGATCTTTCGGCGACTCGGTGCCCTCTTGGACCGTCTCGGGGGCCTGTTGGAGACGTATGCGCCCGTTCCGGGGCCCTCTTGTTTCAGAAAAGTTATGCGAGAACACGCGTGGACACGCGACGCGCCCCAGGAGATGTGAAATTTTGGGCCCAGGCCTTTCCATCCCTATTCACACAGGATTGGGGGCGATGGCACCTGACGACACTCCAACTCGTGGCAGACACACAAAACAAATGCAAGCACACCTGTGTAATTTACGCAGCTTGCTGCTTCTCCACGCATGGTGCGTGGCGGCCTCGCGCCCGAGCCGGACTCGTGCGCTCCACGCTCGTCTGGCATGTATGCCACCAATTGCTTCTTCCCTACCCGACAGGTTCGGGCTGATTTCAAGAACAGGCCCCCTGGCAACCTCCTGGGTGTCCCGCCTCGCGCCCGGCCACTGTGCAGGAGTCAGTTTAACATGACAGGACAGGAGCTACGTTCGTAGGTCCTCGTGGCTCGCGGGGAGCCAATAACATCATCAATCCAGCTACATGGTAGCGGAGCTCGGTTCCCACGCCACGGGGGCTGAGCTCGCGCGCCACGCGACCTCCCCGCCCGAGAGGGCTGCTGGTCAGCAGCGATGGCGGCGATCGAGGTGTTCGACGTGCGGACCGACATGCGGTTACAGCGGTTCGACGGCACAGACGAGAAGTGGGGGGACTGGAGTCTCAGGTTCGAGGCCTACACCGCGCTGCTCGGCTTCGAGGAATTCATGACTGCGGCGGGCCAGAGGCAGGACCCGCTGCTGAACGACTAGCTCGACGAGCGCGCGAGGCAGGTCAGCCAACGGTTGTGGCACCTGCTGATCACATACTGCGAGGGTAAGGCGATGGGAGTGGTCAAGCTCTCGCGCAAGAACGGTCTCGAGGCGCGGCGCCAGCTCAAGAATGGGTGCGAGAGTCGTTCAGGGAATCGCTGGACGGCGATGCTACGGTTCATCTTGAACCCGCATGACAAGTGGGCCAAGGATCGCGAGGCGGGCATCGACTTCTTTCAGTCGCTCGCCGCCTGGGAGGCGATTGTGGCCGAGCGTGTGGATCAGAGCGGCGAAGCCGTTTCTGACAATGTCAGGGTGGGCGTGCTGCTGGAGCACGCGCCAGATCCATGCCGAGAGGTGCTCCGACAGGCCCCAGAGGAGGTCAAGCGCACGCTCGCCGCAGTTCGCAGTCACAACAGGGGCTACTACAACAAGGGCAGGACTTTCACTCACGTCCCAGACGTGGGCGGGGTTGTCCCGGTGCAGGTGGATGCAGTCCGTGCCCAGCTGCCCACTGGCAAGGCCAACGGCAAGGGCAGGACGTACAAGTCCGACAAGTCAGGCGGGAAGTCCGGCAGATGCCAGAAGGGCAAGGACTCAAATACCAAGTCTAAGGGTCGTGATGGCGGCAAGCACGCCAAGAACCAGACGGAGCACTTCGACGGCGAGTGTGGCTTTTGCGGCAAGTGGGGCCACAAGCGGGCGGACTGCAGATAGAAGGCCGATGACTCGAAGAAGGAGCCAGGTCACGCACGAGCTGTTCAAGGCGACGCAGCTTCGTCATCAGCCCAGCAGCCGGCGGATGGCACGGTGCAGGCGGCGTCGGGCTACTTTGACGGCAAGCCCGATGGCTAGGTGTTCGCGGTCACGGCACAGCCGAATGGCCGGGTGGCGAAGGTCGGCGACTCCAGCCTGATCGACAGCGGCAGCGACGACCATCTTTGCAGGCGCAGATTTGTCCCAGAGGCTCCCATCAGCGCTGCGGTGGACGCGCCGAGGCTCTTCGACGCGCAGCAGCGCCCACTACCGACGGCAGGCCTGAGGGGAGTAGAGATGACAATGAAGGAGGGCGTCACTGCGACAGCGGACTGCCTCGTCGCCGACGTGAACGATGATCTGCTGAGCATGGGGAAGCTGCTCAGGCAGGCAGGGCTTCAGGTTCAACCTCAGCCTGGAGAACGGGCTCTACATGACGAAGGGCCATCGCGGGTTCAGCTCACGCTGGAGTGGAACAGCCTCAGGCCCCCGATTGTCGCGGCGGACCCCGCAGCTGAGGCTCACCACTGCCGCGGCGCGGCAGAGCGGCAGGATGCGACGACGGCCCCTGTGCTCAACGCGGACAGCTCAGTCGGCGCGATGAGGACCAGGCTGAGGGGGCTGTGCATGCCCATCTACGGTGCCGAGGCGGAGCTTTGGGACAGTCTCATTGCGGCGGAGGCCGCGGTCAGGCGGTCGGAGGCCGAGAGGCGCACAAGCAGGCAGTCAGGGAGCAGCTCGGGATCCAGCACGACCCAGTCGATGCCAGGAAGCTACCCGTGCCGAATGCTCCGAGCGCTGAAGAGGAGAGGCAGCATCGCTTCACCCATCTGCCGACCGCGCCCTGGCGTGAGGAGTGCATCCGCGGCGAGGCGCCCGATGCTCCACACGCGCAGGTCACGCTCGAGGGCTCCGAGCGGAAGGCGCCGCTCATCAGCTTCGACTTTGGGCGACCTGACGAAGGTCGCGGACACCTATGCGACGGTGCTCGTGGCGTTCTGCTCGGACGCTGGCGTGGCGAGGGCCACCCCATGCCCATCGAAGCCGGCATCGCCGTACGCGATTGCAGGCATCAAGCAGTTCGTGCAGCGGGTCGAGACGGGCGAGTGCAGACTCAGGACCGACTCTGAGCCTGCAACGAAGGCGATCCTGGACGGGGTAGTCGCAGAGCTGACGGGCAAGGTCATTCTGGAGTTGACACCGCACCCAGGCACAGCAGCCAGTCCAACCCAGCGGAGGCGGCTGTGAAGATCGCTGAGGGCCAGACGCGGGTCCTCAGGTTGGATCTCGAGAAGCGCTGCGGCACCACGATCACGGCGGGCGGCCATGCCGATCTGGGCCTGGGTGATGCGTCATGCAGGGTGGCTACACGAGCGGTGTTCACGACGAGCTGGAGGGCAGACTCCACATGAGATAGCGAAGGGCACGCCTTACAAAGGCGACATCTGCACCTTCGGTGAGACGGTGCTGTATCGAATAGCTCGACCGAAGCATCGAGGACTCGGTAGAGGTCGGCGGCTGCGCCGCGGGGGGGCGCAGTGGGGCCGTGGGATCTGGGTTGGCAGATCTGACGAGCCCCAGCAGCATCTGCTGATGACTCGGCGAGGGGTCGATGGAGCTCGGACCGTGCGACGGCTCCCTGAGGGCAGACAGACTGACAAGGACCTCCTGCTGTCGGCGACGGGCCTCCCGTGGGCGACGAGGGCGGCGCCCTAGAGGTCGAGGCGACCACGGGCAGCCCCGCCCGTGGCGACAGAGATCCCGAAGCAGAGCAGCAGCAGCAGCAGCAGCAGGCGCCACCGCCGGCACAGGGCCACCCGAGGGCCGAGCGGACCCTGCTCAGCCCCGAGCCCCACCGCAGGCCCCAGGCCCAGCGGTGGCAGGACAGCCGCAGCCACAGCCGCGGCCCCGGCGGCCAGCGCAGCCAGCGCAAGGACATGTGGACATGTGGACAGGCGGAGAGGCGCGGGCTGCCGCCTGAGGCGGAGGCTTCAGAGAGCAAACGAGCGCGGGTTGCGGCGGTCCACGAGCTGGACGTCGGCAACCTAGACGACCCGCCCGACGCGTTATGGGAGGAGGTGTCGGATGGTGTCGAGGACCAGACCGAGGACATGTTTGACGTGGACGCGCAGGATGAGCCGGACAAGAAGCTCACGCTTGAGCACCTGCAGAGCCTCCTGGACCACGGCGCCGGCGAGGACACCCCCAAGTCGGAGGCAAGGGGAACGTTGCACATCACCACCCGCTGGGAAAAGCAGTGGAGGTGGAAGCCTGCGCGACAGGAGTGGCAGCGCAAGGTGCGATTCGTCTGCCGCGAGTTCCGCTGGCAGGAGTGGCGCGACGACCTGTTCACGCCAGGATCGGCTCCGACCTCCAACAGGCTCATCGAATTCGCGGCTCTCAAGCGCGCCTTCGAGGTGATGACGCTAGACGCGACGGGCGCC